CCGATCTGGCTCTCTCCTGATAGAATGTACCCGGAAACACCAATCTTTAAATCTTCTCAAAATACAAGAATTTGTAAATATCAAGGTCGCTGTCTCAGCACACAAAACCCTTAATTCGTGTAGAGGCATTGTACGGGACAGAGCTCGATGCCTGTCTGACATGACTGAAGAACAAATTGTCAAGGAACTCTCTCAGCAATCCGTCACAGCGGTCAAACGATTTAACTTCAAAAAGGATGGTGCTGTTCAACCAACGAGCACCTATCTCTTCACGTTCGCGCGAGCAAACATTCCTGACTCGATTAGAGCTGGTTATTGTAGCATTGGTGTGGAGGTGTATGTCCCCAATCCACTCCCGTGCTACAACTGCCAAAAGTTTGGACATGGATCCAAGTCCTGTCGTTCCTGTGCTGTCTGCTACCGCTGTGGTGACAAGCATGGGGGCAACGACTGTACTAAGGAAGTGAAGTGCACAAACTGTGGTGGTAACCATATGGCCTCTTCCAAGTTCTGCCCAGTATGGAAACGTGAATCTGAGATACTGAAGATTAAATACAAAGAAAATATCTCCTTTCACGAAGCAAAGAAGAGGGTTGCAAGTCTAACTGCAGCCCCTTCAACCATCACCTACTCTGCTGCTGTCTCCCGTCCTACCATCACTACTGCAACCATCTCATGTCAGACCGACCTGACATGGGTCACGTCTTCTCAGCCAACTGAACTCAACACAACTCAGCCTATCTCAGCCACTCCATCTCAAACGCCAAAAGTCAAAACTTCTGAATCGAGAACAAATGCCAAAACCAGAGACAGAAACTGCGCGCAGAAAAAGGGAAAGAAAGAGGCTAGAGAGACTAAAACAACTTGAACTGCCAAACACAAAACCAAAGGCCACCTCTCCTTCAGAGGTCCCCATCGAGATCCATAACTCCTTTGGCCCTCTGGATATGGAGGTAACTCCAACTCCACCTGACGCCAATAAGCGTTCATCAAACGCTTTCTCACGTTCAAGTGACATGTCACCAGTGGAAGCACCATGACTCCACAAAACATGATCCAATGGAATTGCAGAGGACTTAAGAATAATTATAATGAATTACAGTTATTGATTCAAGACTTCAAACCATCTGCGTTTTGTCTCCAAGAAACCTACCTAAAAAGGACCGATAAATTTGACATCCGTCGGTACAGTTCCTACCACTCCTTTTCTCCTCCCGGTGTAAAGGCTACAGGAAGCACTTCTGAAGTTCTATCCTGGTGAGGCAGGGCATCCTTCATAGCCCTGTTCCACTTAAAACCAACCTACAAACTGTTGCTGTCCGCATGACTCTGAACATAGGGTTTACACTATGTTCCCTCTATCTCACTCCCACCTCAACCGTTCGCCTATCAGATCTTCAGAACTTATATGATCAACTCCCGAAGCCCTGCATAATCATGGGCGACTTCAACGGCCATAACCCCCTATGGGGGAGTAATGATACAAATAGTAAGGGAAAGATCCTTGAAGAGTTTCTCTCCAATAATGATGTCTGCATCTTCAACGATGGATCAAACACCTACCTCCATCCTGCCACTGGATCATACTCTGCTCTCGATCTATCACTTACAGATTCTAATCTTTTAAATGAGTTCGAATGGTCGGTCCATGACGACCTTTGTGGAAGCGACCACTTCCCAACTATTCTTACTCCTATCAACCCAACGGATGAACCACCATCAACAAGATGGAATTTTACTAAGGCCAATTGGCCTTTATTCCAAACCCTTTGTTCAGAAAAACTTAAGCCGGACAACTTCAGGAATGTTCCTGACCCCATGGAACTATTTTCAGACGTCCTAAACGCCATCGGAGACAAAAGTATTCCTAAGTCCTCTGCAAACCCATACATATACGCAAAAACCATGGTTTGATACAAATTGCAAACAAGCTAAGAAAAATAGGAAGAAGACGGAAAAATATTTCCGACAACATCCTACAGTGCACAACCTGAATGCTGTTAAAATGACAAATGCCAGTGCAAAACGTACCTTCAAACAAACTAAACGCCGCTCATGGAGGAAATATGTGTCCAAAATCAACTCCCGCACGCCCATGTCCAAAGTGTGGAACATGATTCAAAAGATCATGGGCAAAGGGTCAAAATCAGGAGTTCACCACCTGAAAGATGGTGACTCCCTTCTAACAAATAAATCTGAAATTGCAAACAAACTCGGCGAAACTTTGGCAAACCACTCCGCCTCATCAAATTATAACCCTCAGTTCCAGAAATATCAAACCCAACAGGAAAAGAAACCAGTCAATTTTAACTCTGATAATGGGGAGGATTACAACGAAACGTTTTCCCTCCATGAATTACGTACTGCCCTAGGACAAGCTCACGATACTGCGGCAGGAGCTGATGAAATCCATTATCAGCTTCTGAAACACCTCCCTGACAAAGGCCTGGAAACACTCCTAAATATATTTGATGACATCTGGACATCCGGACACTTTCCCCCTTCGTGGCACAATGCCATTATCATCCCTATACCAAAACCCGGTCGCGACCATAATGATCCCTCAAACTACCGTCCTATATCACTAACTAGCTGCGTTTGCAAAACCATGGAGCGCATGGTCAACAATCGATTAATCTGGTACCTGGAAACCAATAACCTCCTCAGTGACCTCCAATGTGGTTTCCGAAAAAAACGGAAGTACCATTGACCATCTGGTGCGTCTGGAAGCATTCATCAAAAACTCCATTGTCAACAAACATCATGCAGTATCTATCTTTTTCGAATTAGAAAAAGCATATGATACAACATGGAAACATGGTATCCTAAAAGATTTACATGAGTTTGGATTGAGGGGTAGATTACCTCAATTCATATCTCGGTTTTTTAATAACAGACAATTTCAAGTTCGGATGGGTTCCACACTGTCTGACTATTTCCACCAAGATCAGGGCGTCCCCCAAGGCAGCATCCTGTCTGTCACACTTTTTAGCATCAAAATTAACAGCCTCACTAACGTTCTGAACAGTTGCGTTGATGGGTCCCTTTTCGTGGATGACTTGAATATTTCATGTCGTGGTAAGAACATGCACGCAATAGAAAGGCAGCTACAACTCTGCCTTAACAAAATCCAAAACTGGGCCAATGAAAATGGTTTTAAGTTTTCAAAATCCAAAACAAATTGTATTCACTTTTGTCGTAAATACAAACCACACAAGTATCCAGACCTAACTTTAGATGGTACTCCCATCAAGGTAGTAGAAGAGGCCAAATTCCTTGGACTCATATTCGACCGCCACCTGACATTCTTACAACACATAAAATATTTGAAAACAAAGTGCTTGAAGGCTCTAGACTTGCTAAAAGTAGTTTCAAATACAGAGTGGGAGGATCAGACCACCCTCCTTCACTTGTACAGATCATTAGTTCGCAGTAAACTAGATTATGGCTCCATTGTCTATGGTGGAGCCTGCAAAAGCAATTTAGAAAAATTAGACTCTATCCACCACCAAGGACTGAGGCTCTGCCTGGGAGCTTTTAGGACCTCTCTCCGGTAGACAGTCTATATGCAGAGGCCAATGAACCTTCCCTTGAACAACGCCGCATTAAACTCTCACTGCAGTATATATCACTAAATTACGTTCAAATGAGCCCAATCCAGCATACAATTGTGTTTTCAACCCGCTCTATGAAGACTTATTTCCTAAACTGCCAAGCCTGGTTCCACCACTTGGAATCAGGATCAAACCACACATAACTGCAGCTAAAATTGATCTCGACATCATTGCACCATACCGACTTCTGTCCTCACCACCATGGCAAATGGTGAAACCACAGGTCGATCTTACCCTCACCAAACTCAAAAAAGTCTGAAACAAATCCCTTTGTGTTCCAACAGGAATACAACCAGTTACGTTCGAAGTATAACACTCACAGATCCATTTTCACAGACGGATCCAAGGACGATGGCCAAGTTGCCAGCGCTACAGTCATTGGAGCCAAGACTGTCTCCTCTAGGATCCCCGACAACAGTTCCATTTTCACCGCTGAAGCCAAAGCTATCTTCTCAGCTTTGACCTACATTCAACAGCAAAATCAGTCCCAAAACTTCATCGTATTTACAGATTCATTATCCTGCCTTCAAGCACTTCTAAACGTGACTTCAAGTCACCCAATCATCCTGGACATATTAGGAGTGTACAACGACCTTTCTACTAGCCAATATGACATCATCCTCTGCTGGTTGCCCGGGTCACGTCGGCATAGCAGGTAACACTGAGGCCGATGCTGCAGCAAAAGCAGCTCTCGAAAAGCCCCTATCTCCACTGCTAATCCCGTACAGTGACTTCAAACCCACTATCAAAAGCTATACTCGGGACCTGTTGCAAAAAAGATGGGACACTCAAGTAGGAAGAAACAAACTCCATGAATTGAAGCCAACAATTGGTTATACCTACTTGGGTTGTCAGTCAAGACATCATGAGGTAATTTTACCGCGATGTTGTATGGGCCACAGTCGATTTACACATGACTATCTGCTGAAAACGGATGGGGATGGACCCCCCATGTGTGTCTCTTGCGATGAGGTGTTCACCGTCAAGCATATTCTGCTTGAATGCGTGGACTTATCGCCTGCAAGGGACTCACATTATGATGCAACAAACCTAAAAGATCTGTTCTCACGCGTGAGCGCCCATCTGATACTGAACTACCTGAGGGAAGTTGATCTGTATCATAAATTGTAACTGTGAAATGTAACAACCATAAATTGTAACTATGAAATGTAACAAACCGCCTACCTTTAAATTTGATGCTATGACTTTTCCTGCTTTTGAATGACAATGTAATAAATAAATGTCTTTGAAATAAAACTCATTCCGAGTATGTACTTACAATGCTTACTAATGCAAACTTGTTCTTGTCACTATATGGCTGGAATAATGCCGATGTGACGTAAAGCCCAACTCAACTCAACTCAACACTGCCGTAGAGAAGGGAACAAACAAGCTTGGTATACTTTTATCTTTGTGTTGACTGTCAGCATGTTGTTGTCCCACACCCTCTTCGCAAGGCGGGCCATGGCAGTTGCTGCTTTGCCTATCTTCACATTGAGCTCGGCATCTAAGGATAGGTTGTTGGAGATGGAGCCAAGGTAGGTGAAATTATCCACCACCTCAAGGGTGTGGTCGCCGATGGTGATTGCAGGGGTGGTGCTGACTTCTTGGCCCATGATGTTGGTCTTCTTGAGGCTGATGGTGAGGCCGAACTCTGTGCATGCCTCCGCGAAGCAGGTGATGAGTCGCTGGAGGGCCTCCTCAGACTGTGCACTGAGGGCGGCATAATCTGCAAATATCATCTCTGGTATGAGGACCCTCCAAACCTTTATCTTTGCTCTGAGGCGTGTGAGGTTGAAGAGGTTTCAGTCACTCCTCGTGTGGAGGAAGATGACATCTTTGGACTCGCAGAAGGTGTAAAGCAAGAGTAGGGAGAAGAACACATCACAGAGTGTTGGGGCCAGGACACACCCTTGGTTCACACCACTCTTGATTGGGAAGGGGTCCGAGGATGATCCATCATACTGGACTGTGCCTGCCATGTCGTCATGGAACAATGTGATCATCTTCAGGAGCTTGGGGGGGAAATCCAATCCTGTGTAGGAGGGTGAAGAGGCCTGTTTGACTTACGAGGTCGAACGCCATGGTCAGATCGATGAAGGCAAGGAACGGGGCGTCTCTGCTCACGGCATTTCTCCTTTAGCTGCCTGAGGGGGAACACCATGTCGATCGTCGACCGTTTTGCTCGAAAACCACATTGCTACTCAGGGTACACTTGGTCTGCGAGCAGCTGGAGGCGGTTGAGGACGACTCAGGCAAAAGCTTTCCCCACGATGCTGAGGAGGGAGATTCTGTGATAGTTGTTACAATCGCTGCAATCGCCCTTGTTCTTGTAGAGTGCGACGATCTTCGGGTCCCGCATATCCTGTGGTATTGTGCCCTCTTCCCAGCATTGGAGCAGGAGATTGTGGAGGTGGTCGGGGAGGGAACTCCCTTTTTCCTGCCTTCACAGGCAGAATTCCATCGCTGCCTGGTGCTTTTCCGCAGAAGATAGATGGCCTTCCTGAGCTCCTCGATGGTGGGTGGGGCGTCAGGCTACTCCATGGTGGACAAAGGAGTGGCGTTCTCAATGGCTGTGTCAGTGATGACATTTTCTCGCGAGTACAGCTCCTGGTAATGATCGGCCCATCTCTCCATCTGCTTGCCACGGTCTGTGATGATGTCATAGGTGGATTTAAGGGGAGTGGTCTTATGGCGGGGCCAAATAGGGGACAAATGCTTTCTTCATGCCGTCGTACATGGCACGGATGTTTCCACAGTCCGCAGAGGACTGGATGTCACTGCACAGCTTCAGCCAGTAGTCATTTGCGCACTTGCTGGCGATCCTCTTCGCGATGTTCTCCACCAGACACCAATAGGAGTTCATCAAACGCTTTCTCACGTTCACGTGACATGTCACCAGTGGAAGTACCATGAATCCACAAAACATTATCCAATGGAATTGCAGAGGACTTAAGAATAATTATAATGAATTACAATTATTGATTCAAGACTTCAAACCATCTGCGTTTTGTCTCCAAGAAACCTACCTAAAAAGGACCGATAAATTTGACATCCGTCGGTACAGTTCCTACCACTCCTTTTCTCCTCCCGGTGTAAAAGCTACAGGAGGCACTTCTATCCTGGTGAGGCAGGGCATCCTCCATAGCCCTGTTCCACTTAACACCAACCTACAAACTGTTGCTGTCCGCATAGGGTTTACACTATGTTCCCTCTATCTCCCTCCCACCTCAACTGTCCGCCTATCAGATCTTCAGAACTTATACGATCAACTCCCAAAGCCCTGCATAATCATGGGCGACTTCAACGGCCATAACCCCCTATGGGGGAGTAATGATACAAATAGTAAGGGAAAGATCCTTGAATAGTTTCTCTCCAATAATGATGTCTGCATCTTCAACGATGGATCAAACACCTACCTCCATCCTGCCACTGGATCATACTCTGCTCTCGATCTATCACTTACAGATTCTAATCTTTTAAATGAGTTCGAATGGTCGGTCCATGACGACCTTTGTGGAAGCGACCACTTCCCAACAATTCTTACTCCTATCAACCCAACGGATGAACCACCATCAACAAGATGGAATTTTACTAAGGCCAATTGGCCTTTATTCCAAACCCTATGTTCAGAAAAACTTAAGCCGGAAAACTTCAGGAATGTTCCCGACCCCATGGAACTATTTTCAGACGTCCTAAATGCCATCGGAGACAAAAGTATTCCTAAGTCCTCTGCAAACCCGCACATACGCAAACCATGGTTTGATACAAACTGCAAACAAGCTAGAAAAATAGGAAGAAGGCGGAAAAATATTTCCGACAACATCCTACAGTGCATAACCTGAATGCTGTTAAAATGACAAATGCCAGGGCAAAACGTACCTTCAAACAAACTAAACGCCGCTCATGGAGGAAATATGTGTCCAAAATCAACTCCCGCACACCCATGTCCAAGGTGTGGAACATGATTCAAAAGATCAAGGGCAAAGGGTCAAAATCAGGAGTTCACCACCTGAAAGATGGTGACTCCCTTCTAACAAATAAATCTGAAATTGCAAACAAACTCGGCGAAACTTTGGCAAACCACTCCTCCTCATCAAATTATAACCCTCAGTTCCAGAAATATCAAACCCAACAAGAAAAGAAACCAGTCAATTTTAACTCTGATAATGGGGAGGATTACAATGAAACGTTCTCCCTCCATGAATTACGTACTGCCCTAGGACAGGCTCACGACACTGTGGCAGAAGCTGATGAAATCCATTATCAGCTTCTGAAACACCTCCCTGACATAGGCTTGGAAACACTCCTAAATATATTTGATGACATCTGGACATCCGGACACTTCCCCCCTTCGTGGCACAATGCCATCATCATCCCTATACCAAAACCCGGTCGCGACCATACTGATCCCTCAAACTACCGTCCTATATCACTAACTAGCTGCGTTTGCAAAACCATGGAGCGCATGGTCAACAATCGATTAATCTGGTACCTGGAAACCAATAACCTCCTCAGTGACCTCCAATGTGGTTTCCGAAAAAAACGGAAGTACCATTGACCGTCTGGTGCGTCTGGAAGCATTCATCAAAAACTCCATTGTCTACAAACAACGTGCAGTATCTATCTTTTTCGACTTAGAAAAAGCATATGATACAACATGGAAACATGGTATCCTGAAAGATTTACACGAGTTTGGATTGAGGGGTAGACTACCTCAATTCATATCTCGGTTTCTAAATAACAGACAATTCCAAGTTCGGGTGGGTTCCACACTGTCTGACTACTTCCACCAAGATCAGGGCGTCCCCCAAGGCAGCATCCTGTCTGTCACACTTTTCAGCATCAAAATTAACAGCCTCACTAACGTTCTGAACAGTTGCGTTGATGGGTCGCTTTTCGTCGATGACTTCAATATTTCATGTCGTGGTAAGAACATGCACGCAATAGAAAGGCAGCTACAACTCTGCCTTAACAAAATCCAAAACTGGGCCAATGAAAATGGTTTTAAGTTTTCAAAATCCAAAACAAATTGTATTCACTTTTGTCGTAAATACAAACCACACAAGTATCCAGACCTAACTTTAGATGGTACTCCCATCAAAGTAGTAGGAGAGGCCAAATTCCTTGGACTCATATTCGACCGCCACCTGACATTCTTACCACACATAAAATATTTGAAAACAAAGTGCTTGAAGGCTTTAGACTTGCTAAAAGTGGTTTCAAATACAGAGTGGGGAGGGGATCAGACCACCCTCCTTCACTTGTACAGATCATTAGTCCGCAGTAAACTAGATTATGGCTCCATTGTTTACGGTGGAGCCTGCAAAAGCAATTTAGACAAATTAGACTCTATCCACCACCAAGGACTGAGGCTCTGCCTGGGAGCTTTTAGGACCTCTCCGGTAGACAGTCTATATGCAGAGGCCAATGAACCTTCCCTTGAACAACGCCGTATCAAACTCTCACTGCAGTATATCACTAAATTACGTTCAAATGAGCCCAATCCAGCATACAATTGTGTTTTCAACCCGCTCTATGAAGACTTATTTCCTAAACTGCCAAGCCTGGTTCCACCACTTGGAATCAGGATCAAACCACACATATCTGCAGCTAAAATTGATCTCGACATCATTGCACCATACCGACTTCTGTCCTCACCACCATGGCAAATGGTGAAACCACAGGTCGATCTTACTCTCACCAAAGTCAAAAAGTCTGAAACAAATCCCTTTGTGTTCCAACAGGAATACAACCAGTTACGTTCTAAGTACAACACTCACAGATCCATTTTCACAGACGGATCCAAGGACGATGGCCAAGTTGCCAGCGCTACAGTCATTGGAGCCAAGACTGTCTCCTCTAGGATCCCCGACAACAGTTCCATTTTCACCGCTGAAGCCAAAGCTATCTTCTCAGCTTTGACCTACATTCAACAGCAAAATCAGTCCCAAAACTTCATCGTATTTACAGATTCATTATCCTGCCTTCAAGCACTTCTAAACGTGACTTCAAGTCACCCAATCATCCTGGACATATTAGAACTGTACAACGACCTTTCTACTAGCCAATATGACATCATCCTCTGCTGTTTGCCGGGTCACGTCGGCATAGCAGGTAACACTAAGGCCGATGCTGCAGCAAAAGCAGCTATCGAAAAACCACTATCTTCACTGCTAATCCCGTACAGTGACTTCAAACCCACTATCAAAAGCTATACTCGGGACCTGATGCAAAAAAGGTGGGACACTCAAGTAGGAAGAAACAAACTCCATGAATTGAAGCCAACAATTGGTTATACCTACTTGGGTTGTCAGTCAAGACGCGATGAAGTAATTTTACGACGATGTCGTATTGGCCACAGTCGATTTACACATGACTATCTGCTGAAAACGGAT